GAAACTGGAAGCATCATACGTGGAGACCGCCATTTAACTAATCGAGAAATTTGATCATGATCGGGGATTGGAAATTTTCTATTAAAAGACAATTCCGCGATCTCTCGATGAGTCTAATACATGTATGTGCGACATAAGTACCTCGGTTATTAACCGAATCATATCTAGTGTCGAATGCTTGCTTCAGATGATTGTTTTAAATTCTAAAGAAAAGACGCACGATTCCTGAACAATTCAATAAAGGTTTAGACGTCGTCGGTGTTCCGCTGACAGATAGTATGCAATATAAATTAAAATAATCTCACTCTTTGCTTCAATTGTACATACAATTGCTGCTAAAATAATGATTTTTGGTTGCTGTTTAATTACAAACATATGTTGAAACTTTATACTTACTTTAAGTTAAGTCAAAGAAATTAACACAGGAATGAGGAATGTAATATAAATGCACATACATGGAGTTATTGCATAAATCAATATTTTCACTGACGAATTAAATAAAAAGAATGTTCATGTAATTTTTTCAAATTTGGATTCGTTTCTTTTTGGGGGAAATAACCTTGATAACTTTCAAATATTTTTGAACAAAATGCTTTTAGAAAATAACTTATGACCTTGGATATAATGTAAATGAAATGTCTATTTTTATTTGTTGTGGTTTTATACATAATCATTTCAATTGATGAAATGTATTACGCATTTCTTTCCCACACACCGTGATTATTATATTATTCATTCAATGTTTATTTCCTTATCAACTAAGAAATGACCTTGTTGACCGTCCGGTCGTCTGATCAGGGACTCGCGATCTATCATGTCTCGGGTCTTTATAGTATATAAATTTAGCATACGTGATGTACATTTTTGTACTGATTTTCAATTTTGTTTTTGGTGAGTAAATTTTTATTATGTTTAAGGGGAAGAGTACCTCAAAATGCTAGCAAAATTCAATAACATACTTTAAACTTTATTCACAATATTATGAATCAATGACTGTGCTAACTCGCAGTGATCAGTCTTAAAATGAGAGAATCTGTTGTTAGTTCATCGCTGATCTGAGTTCATTAATGAGAACGTTTATAACACCAAAAAGTATGCCCCCATTCCCCACAACAGCATACGCTATATCAAAATTGCCACACCTGTCCTTCGATTGAATCAAGTATTTACACAAAATCACAATTCTAGCAAGTAAAAAAAAATGTAAACCAAAGAAGGTACCTAATTTAGAATTTCAAGGAACATCCTTGAAAATATACATGTAACCAACTGAGGAATACTCTAGAAAAGCAACAAAAAGTGATTAATACATATGCACTTTACAACAATCTTTAATGAATTCCTCGTATGTCCAATATCATGCCCTGAATATTAAGCTTTAAATTCTTCAACATGTTGGGGTGAGACTTAAATTTTTTTTCTCAAACTTGTTTGTAATCTTTTTACTATTTTATGAAAATTACTTTTTGCATCATGATACTTTACTAACTAACTAACCAGTTAACTAAAATTTACTATAGTTAATTATAGTAAATACTTTGATCTTTGATTTACTATGAAACTTTACTGAACTTTTTTTCTTATCGAAATATTTCAATATTAAATATGTTCATGTATGAATTAGAGAACATGAAATATAACAATTTGATAGATAGATTGTATGTTGTTTTACGTCCCGTTCGACAATTTTTCACTCATACGATATACCGGCGAAGGGTTTCAAATTTTTTACTCGACACTCAGGGCCATTGAGCAGTTAGGAATCTTTATCGTGCCAACGCCTGCCGTGACACGGGGCCTCGGTTTTTAAGGTCTCATCCGAAGGACCCGCAACTTTCACTTCAAAGTGCCGAGCGCTTAGCGAAAGAACAGTTGCTACCTATTTTCTATCGACTTAGGTCAGTCGCGGCCGAAATTCGAACTCAAGACCTTCCGATAACGGAGAGAGCGATCTACCGACTGAGTAACCGTCACGGTTCATAACAATCTGAAATCCATGGCAAAAATTCTTTAAAAACTTTGACACTATAGTAAACTGTAGTTAACTTAAGTAAACTATAGTATTTTGATAGGGAATTATAAGAATACGCCTTACGCCTTTTAAGTTTACTTCTTTAAAGTAAAAAATCTTTAGAGGTGTATCGAGTCTATATATATCTATACTTATAAATGAATAAATTTTGCAAATAAACTCCGAAACGGGTGCGCCAGAGTTCTTACTTACTCCTCTAAGAATACACACGATACAAGATGATGTCCGTAAACTATATTTAGATTTCGCTTGCATTGTAAGAATCGTACATTAAATTAAAAGTCTACTTTTATTTTCTATAAACAGCAATGAAATAGCAAAAACGTGAGTACGGTGGCGTTTCCGGTTGGCGGATCTAAGTTACTGGCAATTTTTAATGAAACTGACAACAAGCAATCGTTTATTTATTTCTTTATCGTCATTACTGAATCATTCAATCAAAAGTTGATTTAAATGATATAAAAGAAATAAGTTGTGATAACCGATTAAAAAGGAAAATGTGAAAATTATTTTTGTCATTCACCGATCGTAATATTGACGGAGGCTTCTAGAACATCATCTGGCATCGAGCCCGATGTTAAAAAGAAAATAGCTGCTTTAACATAAAAAAGGCTTTTGTGTGAATGGTTATTGAAATAATGGTAAATCATTGATAACACTGTAAGTTGTGAATATATTTATATATCGAAAGACTTTTACATATACGAGGGGTTATCAAGAAGTTCGTGGACTGACGCGATAAAATTAATAATATGTAGTCTTTGCTTACAAAATTTATGCGGAACATAAAACAACAGAAGTTTAAGAAATGTTGAAAATTTTAGCTTGATACGTTGATAATTTGCCAAATTATTCTAAAATTAAAAAGACTTTATGTGATCACCCGGCGCTGTCGCCGTTTAGTGTCATGACGTCCGCTTAACGTCATTGTTTCTTAATGTCCGCTCTCTCTACCTCATACACTTATCTTGATGAGATTACATGGAGTTAAGTAAGGACTTAAACCCGTCTTATTTATATGAATTTACAATGTCATGAGCAGCTGTTTTCAATGCATATAATATTGTAAATGGATCTTTATATGGGGAAAGATCCTCACTTGATTATGCCAGAATACTTAGCTTGTTGTAGTTCAATTTCTACCACACATGATCAACGTCACTTTTCGACGTGACTGACTTTAGACACCCTGACTACAAATCGACACTAACTGTGCATATTTCATCGCTCTGAATCTTTTTGGGCATTAAAAAACAAGTACTCTGGATGCATTTTATTTTTCTGTAGCCAGTTTAAACATTCCTTAGGTCAATACCAGTTTTTCCAGGAGCGAAACTCTATAGAGTGTTTGAAAAAGAAACCCCTCACCCTTTTTGACGTTATTTTCAATCCCATAATTGTTTGGACACTCCATATAAAATTTACGATAAAATTTCATAGAAATTACAGAATGGGGTAAAAATTGCAAATTTTACTGAACAAATGTGTCGTACCACATGCCTGAATTAACGAGATTTTTATGATGACAAATACTCATATCTAAAGAGTTTTTCTCAGTTACATTCAGATAGAAATAAACGTCATATTAGAGGTTGCGCCTCCTGGACATACCTTTGCTTACAAAAACACTAACAATTTATTAAAAAATAAAAATTATGATTTATGGTTTATTCTATAGATAGAAAAGATGATGCTAACTAAATGTGTAAAAATTCATTGATGTACCTAAAGCGGTTTTAATTTTATGACGCTAGTCCACGAACTTTTTGATAACCCCTCGTATTTAGTAGGTTTTCCTAATAAATTTATCGGTAAAATTTGTATAAATTCCTCACTGAGAGCATCGTGGCAACGAACCCGAAGTACAATTTGTACTTCGTAATAAATTTGCTTACATGAAAAGAGAATTAAAATCAATGAATAAGGCATTGTTCAAATACAATTATGTTGTAAAATTTTGTGCTTTAATCAATACATTTCAGTTTTTTTTCTGAATATAGTCTTTTGTATCAAATACTCGGCCTATTCCAGTGGCGGATCCAGGAATCTTGAAAAAAAAGGGGGGGGGGCAGTTTGGAGTTGGGGTAGGGGCCCACACACACACTCAAAAAATTGATTTATTAAATTTTATGTATATTTTGGACACAAAACGCGAGGGGAGCTGCCCCCCTCTAAATCCGCCAGTGTATTCATAGGGCCTTATATAAAAGCTAATTTTTACACAGGTTCTTGGGTCTTGGATTATAAAAATGTATGTACCTTATTGATATGTTTAAAAAAGAGGTAAGGTACAGTTTTTACATATCAATAAGGTTCATACATATTTATAAACCAAGACCCAAGTACTTGTGAATTTTTACCAAATAAAAAATCAATTTCTCAGTAAATTGTGCATTTCTTGACGGAAATGAAATAAGAGCATCTGAAGTACAATATCTATAACACAGTATATACAATATCCATAACATAGTATGTAGCAGGTTTCACAATAAACGTCAATTAATGAAATTGTTATTTAAGTTTTACAAGGGGGGGGGGGGGTTGGGGTGGAGACGTACTTCTACTTCATGCGGGATTTTGAACTAAGTATTTCTTCCTGCTATAAGCCTGTAGGGTGTCAGTAGAAACTATGTATATTATGTATATGTATATACAATATATATATTATTGGATTTTTTCTGTCGATAGTGGTATAAATTCAATTCCCCGTGCTTGCGCGGGATTTCATGTAGTATATATACATACATACATACATACATACATACATATATATATATATATATATACATACATACATACATACATACATACATATATATATATATATATATATATATATATATATATATATATATATATATATATATATATATATATATATATATATATATATATATATATATATATATATATATATATATATATATATATATATATATATATATATATATATAACATGTAGGTGTATGGGGATTAACGTGTAACTTTGATAATGGTCCTTGTGAGTGGTATTCTGTAAAAGGCAATTCAGTTCAGTGGAAAATTGGCACCGGAAGTACCCAGGACCCATCCTCCGGTCCAGACGGTGACCACTCACCAACAGGAAGTAAGTCCTTTTTTGACCTTACTATTTTACCTTGTCCTCATCATGCTGCATTTGTAACAAATTAATTATTTTTAAAAAATTAAAAATGATCTCTACCTCACAAATAAGAAAATAAAATTTGAATTGTTCAAATTTAAAAAAAAACCTATTGAACTTTTTTTAAATTAAATATTTTCCTTGCTTGCAAACATTAACATAAACTATTTTTTTTAATTTTGAAAGAGCAATTTTTCATAATGCTTTTCGTTCAGACTAACTTTTTTTAATTTTATTTATTTATTTATTTTTTTTTAAATGTTCTTTAGATAAAAATCACCCCCCCCCCCCCCCAATGAACATAAACTATATTTTCGAAAATCAGATAACATTTGATATTCGATCATTTGAATTTGGGCAAAAACAATCTTAACCCAGATTTAATGTTGTAGATGGCCAGTACCTCTATATAGATGGCCATGAGTTTTTCAACTCCTCACTGGTTGCTGAGATAAGAAGCCCGGATTTCTACATTCTCGACAATTCTACACTCTCCTTTTGGTACCATATGAATGGCGCGGGTGTCGGAGAATTGCGGGTTATATTTGTGGACCGATATAATTACAGAAATATTGTCTGGTCGAAGTCAGGTAGACAAGGATCAGGATGGCACCAGGCTATTCTCATCTTAAATGACCTCACAGCTTACGTAAGTGTGTTTATTATGAAAGTTTTGTTTTTATAATGAATATGACATCTAACGTACGGAATGTTGTTTTTGCAACGAATTTTCGAAATAGGGAAAGACAATATTTAGAATGTGATTTAACTTATTTATATACTGATGATCTATATGTATAATATTTTCAATTTAATTTAAGTGCAATTCACTATTAATGATAATTCTATTTGAAAATTGTATCTGTCGAATAAACGATAGTCTTTGGTTAGAAAAGAATACTAATTTTACATGGATAAAAATTATTGTTAATATTTTGTTTCAAATTAAAATAAGCAGAAAATCGAACGACTTAAAAAAATGTTGTGCAAAATGCATATATGCAATATATTTATCTGAAAAAAAAAAGAAAATTATTTTAATTTTTAACTTTACTTAATGCTTCTTACAATAATTATCCATTTTATATACTTGAAAAAGATATTCATCATTCGACATTGCACATTTACAGAAAACTCAGGTAAAAGTTCATGGCCCTTGAAGTAAAACATTGTGGTTAAATATATGACAATTTGCTAATTACACATTTGTGGTTTTACACGAATATTTATGTTAAGATTAATTAATTCTTTCACATAAACTTCTATTGTTGGTTTATTACGATCCTTTTTTTCTCTAGATCTAAAATGAACACATTTTTATGTCTTCCTTGTGGATTTTGCTTTATTTATCTTTATTAACAAATGGGGTAACGCTTTAATTGAGGAAAGGTTATGTTTCTATTTTCTGAAGTCTGCATGCACATCTGTTTTTCCTGGGATTCTTATGTAAAGATGACAATGGGTACATTTCAAACAATTTACAATTAATCAAATAATTAATTCACTAAGTACATTGTATTACGTATTTAATAATATTTGTATGACGGTCGTAACAAAAGGTGTCTTATAAAGTATTCTATATTTCGTTTCATTCTGAATTAAAAAAAAAATCTTTCATCTATTTTAAATTAAAATGTTCATTTTCTCCTGTTTTTTTTTTTCAGTTAGAATAATTTATTTTCATGAATGAATGTCGAGTAAATGTACAATATATAAACATGTACTTATTTCCCTTTACTCATAATTATACCCTTTTCAAGTTTCATACCAAAATCAATATTCTTAAGGAATGGAAATTCATTTTTTAAGGGATTTAAATTATCATGTGTATATGACCAAAATTTTAAAAATGAAAGAATAGAAACTTTATTGAATTACGAAAAAATATCGCAAACTCGAATTTAACGAAGACTTATTGTAAATGTATTATATTATGCTTGTACGATATTTTGCAATTCTATTTTACGATTTTACAACAAGTTAGCGTACTTTCTAAAGGTGCTAGATATGAATATGAACATGCAAAACATTTAGAGACGTACTTGATTTAGCGGAGCTGCCTTCCGCAAAAGGCGCTGCATGAATAGAATACGCCACCAAATGTAATACGTAAAGATATATATTTTAGCGGAAACAATATTTTAGTGCCTTTAGCGCTGCTTCATGTTCAGTTTATGAACACGCAGATAAATGATTAATGATTGTTCTAATCAGTTAAAGAGGATAGTGCTAAAATTTGAGTGCGCTTATTTTATGTATATTTATAATGGTATTACATGAAGTAGTTTATTGTGGTTAGATATACTGCTGTAGGATAAATGACAATAAATAAAAAGATATATACAAGACACAAACCGATACCTTGATACCTATCGGTGTTATCTTGAAATATATTCATTGATGAACGTTTAAATAGAAAATTCTTAACTGATGTTTTTATTCACACTTCTTCAAACATATTGGAGATATCTTTAATTTTACCTACAACTACTAAGATTTACTCTGATGACGAACTTTGAAGAAATTGCTTTGACAGATAAACATTATTGTGAATTCAGTGGTATTTTTCGAGTATATTCTGCTACTAAATTGCTGATTTTCCAAACCTGAAGGATGGATAACCTTAATTTAGATTGGAGAGAAATTATGTACGTACTGGAATTAGTTGTACTTTGAACAATCATTGTGCCTTAATACAGGTTATATTTGAAGGATCAACAAGGCTTCACTATTCCTCTGACATCGCCATTGATGACGTATCTGTTTCTAAAGAGCCCTACGGTATAAATATGAAATATATAAACCATTCAAAATTTCATTATTTTGCACAGTTCATTGAATTTTAGATAGCTTTGAAAATTAAAGATTTTTCACTTACTTTCAGAGTTAACACACAGACCGTTGTTTACAACCACGACTTCAACACAAATGACGTCAACTTTATCAATACCCATTATTCCACGTAAGCCCCTGAATTTTCATTTCGTTTTCACCTAAAATAATTCTTATTTTTAGAATAACATACTGTAGAGATATCCTTTTGGAAAAAAAAACAACAAAACAAAAACATACTAGTACTTCACAGGATAATACACATTTTCATGCAATACATTTAAGCTTTTGACCATTTTCAAAATATATACCTGAAGGAAACATTCAGTTTTTGTACGAAGCACTTTCTTACATCTTTTAACCAAGTGTGTCTCTGAAATAACATGATGTATGGTGGTGTATTTACTCAATTAATTTAATCTTATTTGCAAAAAAAATAAGTTTAATGATTTTGCTTTTTGTAGTCATTCATTACCTTGCAATAACATAACTATGGAATGTTTGTGTTTAAAATTTGAAAATCAATTTCGTGTTACCTGACGCAAGGAATCAAAACTGATTTTACAATATTATTATTAATCTCTTGTCTTTAACCAAAATATGTGATTTAAAATAAATCCCATGGTTATTGAGCGTTTTGTTTGTTTTTTTTCTTTCTACATGTATATTCAGCAGTGTTAAGAGTTGGGCTGTTTATCAATTCATATTTCAATTATCTTTCTTATAATACGTGAAATTATTATTTTGTTTGTCACAAGATTTTTTTTTAATGACTTGGTGATTTTCTTTGTTTTAGAGATTACACTTGACTGTACCTTCAACAAAGATACGTGTTCTTGGCTTCAGGATTCAGGTGACAATTTGGATTTTCATAGGTGGTATGGACGCTCTCCAGACTTTACTTCCGGTCCAAAGATCGACCATAAAAATACAAGTAAACCAATATCCATGTTTTAGAGAATCAAAGAAATTACTCCATTTACTGTAGTTTTAAAATAAAATTAGAACGTTAGATGTCAGGATAAGAAGAAATTGCATCAAAATCACATAAATTATCAATGTAATTTGTGACTTAAATGAAGTACATGTGTAATCAGGTTTGTAGATTTGAAATATATAGCTACGAAAGCCAGTTTTAAATAACACTTCATATGTGCAATAAAATTGAAAAAAAAAATTGAGAATAAATAAAAGATTTTCCATTTAGCGGAGTTCTACTTACTACTAAAAGGCCACGAAGCGCGAAACAGCTCTTGGACAGCTCGTATGTACAGCCCTTATGTCAACATCGATAGCCCAAGGAACCTGACGTTTTGGTATCATATGAATGGAGCCAATATTGGGCATCTCAAATTATACCGAGAGTTTGCTGATGGAACTAAACAACAACTTTTTATAAAATCAGGAAGACAGAGCTCAGTTTGGGAACAGGCACATATAACGCTTCCTACTGGTTTCTATAAGGTTCATGTTGTTTTTAGATCAACCAGGTCCATTTAAAGTATAAAAACAAAGTAAGCTTTGACAATTTTTTTTCCCAGCAAAAGAAGTTTGGGGGGTATATAGGAATCACCTTGTCCGTCTGTCCGTGCAATCTTGTCCGGGCTATTACTTTGTTATGGAGAAACACTTGAATCTCATACCTGGTACAAGGATTGCTTATGACCCAAGGGTGTGTCAGACCTTGACTCAAGCTCATTTTAGCAAGTTCAAGCTCAATGGCAGAAATGGTATAAAATTCTTGTCTGGGCTATACATGTAACTGTGTAACAAAAAAATCACTGGAAACTCATATTTTATACGGAGATTGCTTATGATCTACGGGTGTGTCCTGACCTTGACCGAAAATAATTACGACAAGTTCAAGATCACTGACAGAAAAGCATAAAATTCTTGTCATGTAGAATCATTGAAAGCTCATACTTGATACAAAGATTGTTCATGACCTGAGGGTATATCATGACCTTGACACAAGGTTATTCTGACAAGTTCAATGTCACTTGTATAAATAATGTAAAATTCATAACAAGTTCATAATTTTCTATTTCACTGAAAGATTACTTATGACCAGAGAAAGTGTCATTTTTTAAACCAACGTCTTTTTGGCAAGTTCAAGGTCACATTTACAGAATTTGAATGGGCACATTAAAATAATAGTGGCGGGGGGATTATTTTGCGAGCTCGCACACAGAACGTCCAGTTAATTTAAGGTACAAATTTGAATTATTGAATTGATAATATATGAGTAACTCCCAATATAATGTAGGGCGGTTTTTCCTTCCCTTTTTGTGAAATTATCCAAAATTGGATACATTGCTACATATGTACGAATGTAAACTTTGAATTCTAAATGAAAATACTCCATTTATTCCATTTATTAACTGGTTTAATATATATATATATATATATATATATATATATATATATATATATATATATATATATATATATATATATATATATATATATATATATATATATATATATATATATATATATATATATTCAATCTTGAATGTTAGAAAATCAATTTAAAGCAAAGAAATTTTCTCTTTGCAGTTGGTATTTGAGGCCGATGCAGCTCATCATTACAGTAGTGACCTCGCAATAGATGACATCCGTTTACATGGTGGTGTACCTATAGTAGGATAGTATGTAACTTTATTGTATTAAAATAACCGAAAAGTCTCTTCTTGACAATTTATAACTTATAATGCACTTCATGATTTAAGAAATGAATGTAATATTTTTTCTTTGACCTAAGTATCAAAGAAACATTTGCGTAGCGCATTGATGAAAAAGTTTTCCGTCCAAAATTTTCTTTGATACTTCAAAGAAAAAAAATATTACTTTCATTTCTTATCATTTAATTATGATTTAAAAATAATGAAATAAAACTTTCTTTCACTTTTATATTTAATTTACGCATCGAAGACAGTGCGTAGGAAAAGATCACAACAACGTTGCTGGAATTCAAAATGGATTAACGCGCATTGATGGAGTTTTCCGTCCAAGTTTTCTTTGATATATCGATCAAAGGAAAAATTAAAAGATTTTTTTCTTATCATTTCACATCGATATATCTGAACGTGGAGTTGAAGGCCACAGTAACCTCATGTAGAGGTTTTTGAATAAATTCTGCCTCATAAACATAAAAGCACAATTATTGTTCATCAGAAATCCAACAAATTATTGGAAAACCTGGTCTCTAAAGACTATATACGTACTGTCAATGAGGAAGTCGGGCATATTTTTAATATCAACCTCGAGTACTTGTATGTAGAATCAGAAGGATTTTCATCAAAGTAATGACTAATCACAAAATATGAAAATTTGCAGGTTTCATTTTTATTGAGAAAGCAGTTTCTGTGATGTCAAAGACATGCGCCTTTATCTATTGTGAGAACAGTTGTAGGAAGGAAAGCTGACGATGGAAAACTTGGTCATCAGATTTACCATTAAATTTGTTTGTTTGCCATCAATGTCTTTCTTTAGTAAAATATCGAAATATAAAGCAGATGTGTAAGACACCGCTGTGCCTTTCTATTATTTTATTCATTTTTAGCACTAGTTACACTAGTTATTGAACTTTGTCTTTGTATGGTGTAGATTTCTATGTCTTTTTTGGCTTCTATTTTACCTTCCGATGGTCCAACAAATGATAACACAACAGGAATCAAAAGAACTGAATGTGCCAGTCCGAAAAATATTACAAGAAACATTAGCTTGCCGAACGTTTTGAAAATGTAACTTTCTGCAAATCCCAGGACGGAAATACCAACAAGTGTGGAAAACGCTCCGTTAAATATAGGTCCCCCAGATCTGTCCAAGGCGAGGTCAACTTTAGTTGCTCTGTTGTATGCACCTTCATTAAGATAGGCATGACAAATGTGGGCACTGAAATCGACAGAAAATCCGACAGTCATGATGAGATGTATCATAGTTATGGAACTTAGAGAGATGTCTCAGAAATACATGAAACCAAACACTCCAAGGAGGATAGTCATCAATGATGCCCCGACAAGAGCGATTAAAATTGGATGAGGCATGAAGAAGATGGTAACTGCTATTATAACAACAATAGCGATTCCAACAGTTTGCAATGTGCTTGGAAGAAATAGGATAAACTGTTCGAAGTAAATAAACGCATGTGAATACACAATCATGGGAATTGCAGAATCTTTAGTCACTTCCCGCATGCGCAGCATCATCAGACTTTGATCAATAGTTGATTTCATGTTTTTGGTTTTCAGGAAGAATCTAGAGTTTGTAATACTCGTTCCAGAAGAGCCCAATACTACATCATTGGCGTAAATTGGGTTATTTGTCAAAAATGTTCGAAGAGCAGAAATGAATGCAGTCTCCGATGAGTTGACATACAATGAAGATTTTTCAAATGTCGCAAGCCAGTTAAGTTCAAATGAAGAATCTATGTCTTTATCTTCTTTTGCCTTAGTTATAACTGATTTCAGGGTTTCTTGTTTCAGTGAAGATGAATACGTCTGGGTAGTTTTCACATTAAAAGACATAAAAATCTCTCTTGTAAAGTTATCTTCCAACCAACTGTTGAATTTGAAATAGAGTCTTTTGGAGCAAGTTTTCGAAGGGATAGACCCTCCTTGAGATGAATGGCTCCATAAATAGAACATATTAGGTAAACTAAAAAAATATTTATGATTAAAATCTTTAAGACAAAATGAATCATAATCATTTAAATTAGTTTTTTGGGATACTTCTCCAGAGGACTGTCAACGTCGTCTCGTCGTTTCGGTGCATATCCAGCGCATGCGAAGAGTGATAATCCGGATTTTCCATCTTCCCTCAGTGAGTCTATGTCTTTAGTTTTTACACAGCAAACCATACAATGGGGATTGCTTTTAATCCTTTTCTCATTAATAACTATGCATACACAGAAAATTGTTATTTGATTGATGTAACAAAAAAGCACGGAAACACCTGAAACAGCACAAAAAATATTGATTTCAATGAACATTTTTGCATACAGCACATCTTTGATTTTCAAAACTATACTCACAGTAATTTTATGTGCTTATGAAAGATGTGTTTGCAGATCTGACCCAAATAAATTCAATACCCACATCCTTACAATGTGTAACAAACTCTTGATAAAATATACTTAGTGCTTAAATTATCGTGACGTAATGTTTTTTTTAAATTTTTGCCAGAGAGGTTGAGATATTTATTTGTTCTTATGTCTCGTTAATTATCGGCTTGTTAACCAATAAAATGCATCTTACAAATTATCTTGAAAATAAAACCATACATCCTTTGCTTTCACCTCACAATAAAACGTACAAAAACATATATCGTAATTGGCAGGCTTTATGTTTGCAATATATATTAATGTAAATGCGAGAGATTATTTTAAAAAAAATATTGAAACAATTGTACTTGAGATGATGCATTTTGACATTCGATATAAGTTAGATATACGCACAAAACAACATTTTAATTTAGCTAATATTATACATATATCAGATGGCTTCGAGGGTGACATACCAGAATGTTTGCCCCAAGGTGACAGGAAAGTCCTGGAGTGTTATGTCACCCGATGCCGAAGGCAGAGGTTGACATAACACTCCAGGACTTTCCTGTCACCGAGACAAATAATCCAAAATGCTTTCATGACATTAGAATTACGCTCCGTTGTTTACATTTGCTTAGCAACTGACGTCATTACATCTCGAACCCGAGCTACAAATGCGTAACATAAAAACACGTGAAAGTGATCTAGAGGGTGTTAAAACTGTTTCCGTCGGGTGACATAACTGTTTCCGGCGTGTGATTCAGCATTCTTCAAGGTTTATGGTGAAACTTATTACATTTGTGATATAATAGGAAAAATTTATTCAAAATTGTTATATAAAGCACTGACTTACCTGTGTAAATGCAGAAATTTCTGACACTCATGAAAACTGAACTGGCACCGATTACAAAGGCTAGAATATCAGTTACTGATGTAATGGTAATTGCGACTCCACTAGTTTTCATCATGTAGTAAATTCTATCCGATACACTGGCCGTATACTATCGATTCGGCATCAGCAATGCCAGATATTAGAAGGAAGACATCGTCTATACCGATTCCTGAAAGATTTGGTTTATTAAACAAATACATGCTGATCACCATCTGGAAGTGTACAATGAAGGTCAACTCTATAGCGGTATTATTTTGTAAGAAATGTCATTTAAACAAAAGAGTTAAATTAGATAAAAAACTTCCTGGGTATGAATACTACGATTACTTTCCTATGATAAGGAATGGCATAGCGCCCACAATGTTAACGAATTTCACTCCAACGAGACTCGAAAAAACTAAGGAAGACAAGACAGACAGTACAGCTAGAACCCCTACTTGGCCAAGGACTGCCCTGCCTGCTATGAAATTACAGTTCAATTTTGAGGTGGCAATGGATGCATAAACCATCATAAGTAGCAATGTCGTAACGTAGAAAATTATGTCTCCTTCTATGTTTTCCCTCAGTTCGTCATCAACGGCCTAAGAATATGAGAAAGCCAATTCTGATACATTCACAGCAGCAGCTGGAATAGCTTCAATGAAAGCCTTTTCCCATTCTCTTGAATATTTGCTAAGGAGATGATATGTAAGTTTTACTCCAATTGAAGACGTAAGGTATCCATCTAAAGCGGATGGGTTTGCAAGGAGAGAACTTAGCGATTTTTCTTTGAATATTGGGTATGTAATATTGTTTGACAACATCTTTTGCTTAAAGTCACTGCTTAAAAAAAATGTTACCGTCTACAACACAAGATCCTACTGCTCTGGCACACAGATCTTCGAATTTATACTCCTTTTCAGAAATTGAAATCGAGATCGAGGTGCGAACAAATCTATCAGAAGAGGTAACGTCATCCAAGAATGCTGACGTCAACATATTTCCTCTGTCCTTGGTTAAGATTAGTACTTCTGCGTAGGACGAAAAACCTTCATTCACATAGAAATCAGGGCTCCAAGGACATAAGTCATGTAAAAAATCTCTGTCTTGTGAAGCTTGGCTATTCTCGGGTGTATAGAGCTTCTCAACGCCAGTCTCCTCTTCAAAGCGAAGCATGCCTAATCCAAGAAGAAGGTTAACAGTGATGGCGATGGATAGGACTTTAACAGGATGTCTCGCCAAAAATCTTCCATACATTCCAAAGAAATTACCAATTTTCTCTTTATGACGATGCTAGCAGTTACGTACAAATCTGAAATATGTAAATATTATTAGTTTACAGACTGTCGCATTTTTTTGAGACATGTAAAATTTCAGTAATATTTACAAGCAGGAGCATTTTTCTTCAGTTATTTAGTATTAAATAGAACGTGTAAACATTTGGTCAACCAATTACCCATAAATCATTTACAATCTATCAAGTACGTATTCAACACTTTTTTCACACATACCATTGTTTTATGTGTTCTTTTTAGTCCCCTACCACTGAAACCTGGAGGAGGACTATAGGTTTCCTCTGAGTCTGTCCGTCCGTCTGTCTGTCAGTCTGTCCCACTTGGTTTTCCGCATTTTTTTCCCTAAACGCTTGCCGATATTGAGCTGAATTTTGGTATGTGGGTGTATCTTGATGAATTACAGATCGAGTTTGCATTTCGTTCCGCTTCATTGATTTTT